ACAGGATCCAACATTCTGCTGCATCCAAGAAACACATCTCTGCAACAAAGATAAACACTATCTCAGAGTAAAGGGCTGGAAAAATGTTTTTCAAGCAAATGGACCCAGAAAACAAGCTGGGGTAGCTATCCTAATATCTAATAAAATAGACTTTCAGCCAAAATTAATCAAAAAAGATGAGGAGGGGCACTTCATTCTCATCAAAGGAAAAATCCACCAGGAGAACATTACAATTCTGAACATCTATGCTCCAGTTACAAGAGCGCCTACATTTGTGAATAAAACATTATTAAACTTGAAGTCGCACATCAATCCCAACTCCTTAATAGTGGGAGACTTCAACACTGCACTCTCACCAAGGGACAGATCACCGAGAGAGAAGCTGAATAGGGAAATAAAGGCATTTACAGAGGTCCTAAATCAAATGGACCTAATAGATGTCTACAAAACTTTTCACCCAAAATTCAAAAGATTATACCTTCTTTTCAGCACCTCATGGAACCTTCTCTAAAATAGACCATATAGTTGGTCACAAAGCAAGCTTCAGCAAATACAAGAGCATTAAAATAATCTCTTGTATTCTGCCTGACCACTATGGACTAAAGCTGGACCTCAACAACAACAGAAATAGCAAAAAGCCTACACACATGGAAGCTGAACATCTCCCTACTCAATGACAGCTGGGTTAAGGAAGAAATAAAGAAATTAAAGGCTTCCTAGAATTCAATGAAAATGAAGGCACAACATGCCCAAACTTATGGGACACAATGAAAGCAGTGCTAAGAGGAAAATTCATAGCACTAAGTGCCTTCAAGAAGAAATTTGAAATATCTCATACAAGCAACTTAATGGCCCACCTGAAAGTCCTAGAAGAAAACAAAAAGAAGCAGACACATCCAAGAGGAGTAGATGGCTGGAAATAATCAAACTCAGGACTGAAATCAATGAATTAAAATCAAATAAAACTATTCAAAGAATCAATGAAACCAAGAGCTGGTTCTTTGAGAAAATCAACAAGATAGACAAACCCTTAGCCAAACTAACTAAAAGGCAGAAACTATCCAAATCAGCAAAATCAGAAATGAAAAGGGGAACATAATAACAGACACTGAAGAAATCCAAACAATCATTAGGTCTTACTACAAAAGCCTATATGCCACAAAATTTGAAAATGTAAAGGAAATGAAAATTTTTCTTGATAGATTCCATTTATCAAAATTAAATCAAGATCGGGTAGGAAATAGAGGCAGTCATCAAAAGTCTCCCTTCCAAAAAAAGCCTAGGGTCAGATGGTTTCAGTGCAGAGTTCTACCAAACCTTCAAAGAAGTGCTAACTCCAATTCTCTTCAAATTATTCCACAAAATAGAAACAGAAAGAACATTACCAAACTCATTCTATGAAGCCACAGACACCTTGATACATAAACCACACAAAGACCCAACCAAAAAAGAGAACTTCAGACCTAGCTCTCTTATGAACATTGATGCAGAAATACTCAATAAAATACTGGCAAACCGAATCCAAGAACATATAAAAGATATCATCCACAATGACCAAGTAGGCTTCATCACAGGCATGCAGGGGTGGTTCAATATAAGGAAATCCATCATTGTAATCCATCATATAAACAAACTGAAGGAGAAAAACCATGTGATCATCTCCTTAGATGCTGAAAAGACATTTGACAAAATCCAACACCCATTCATGTTTAAAGTCTTGGAGCGATCGGGGATACAAGGCACATACCTAAAAATAGTAAAGACAATATACAGCAAGCCTATATCCAACATCAAACTAAACAGAGAGAAACTTAAATCAATCCCACTAAAATCAGGGATAAGGCAAGGCTGCCCACTCTCTCCATATCTCTTCAACATAGTACTTGAAGTCCTAGCTAGAGCAATAAGATAACTAAAGGAGATCAAGGGATACAAATCAAAAAGTAAGAAGTCAAAGTATCACTATTTGCAGATGATATGATAGTCTACATGAGTGACCCCAAAAATTCATCCAGAGAACTCCTTCAGCTGATAAACACCTTCAGCAAAGTGGCTGGATACAAAATTAACTCAAAAAAATCAGAAGCCCTCCTGTATACCAAAGACAAAAGGACTGAGAAAGAAATTAGGAAAACAATACCCTTCAATAGCCACTAATAACATAAAGCACTTTGGCATGACTCTAACCAAGCAAATGAAAGACCTATTCAAAAAAAAAAAAAAAAACTTCAAGTCTCTGAAGAAAGAAATTGAAGAAGATATCAGAAAATGGAAAGATCTGCCGTGCTCATGGATTGGTAGGATTAACATAGTGAAAATGGCCATCCTGCCAAAAGCAATCTACAGATTCAATGCAATTCCCACCAAAATACCAACACAATTCTTTACAGAACTTGAAAGAAAAGTTCTCAAGTTCATATGGAAAAACAAAAAAACCAGAATTGCCAAAGCGATCCTGTACAACAACCAATCGTCTGGAGGTATCTCCATCCCTGATCTTAAGCTGTACTACAGAGCAATAGCAATAAAAACTGCATGGTACTGGCATAGAACAGAATGGTGGATGAGTGGAATCGAATTGAAGACCCAGAAATAAACCCACACAAAGAAGCCAAAACCATACAATGGAAAAAAGGTAGCATCTTCAACAAATGGTGCTGGTCTAACTGGATGTCTGCGTATAGAAAAATGCAAATAGATCCATATTTATCATCCTGCACAGAACTAAAGTCCAAGTGGATCAAAGACCTCAATGTAAAATCAGACACACTAAATTGGTTAGAAGAAAAAGTGGGGAAGAGCCTAGAACTTATTGGTACAGATGACAACTTCTTAAACAGAACACCAACAGCACATGCTCTAAGATCAACAATTAACAAATGGGACCTCATGAAACTGAAAAGCTTCTGTAAAGCAAAGGACACTGTCATCAGAACAAAATAACAGCCTACAGACTGGGAAAGGATCTTCACCAACCCTATATCTGACAGAGGGCTAATATCCAGAATATATAAAGAACTCAAGTAGTTAAAAAGCAAAAAATCAAATAATCAAATTAAAAAATGGGGTACAGAGCTAAAGAGAGAATCCTCTATAGAGGAATATAGAATAGCAGAGAAACACTTAAAGACATGCTCAACGTCTTTAGTCATAAGGAAGATGCAAATCAAAACAACCCTGAGATTTCACCTTACACTCATCAGAATGGCTAAGATCAAAAACTCAAGTGACAACACATGCTGGAGAGGATGTGGAGAAAGGGGAACCCTCCTCCATTGCTGGTGGGAATGTAAATTTGTATGACTACTTTGGAAATCAATCTGGTGCTTTCTTAGACATTTAGGAATAGTGCTTCCTCAAGATCCAGCTATACTACTCTTAGCATATCCAAAACATGCTCAAGTACACAACAAGGACATTTGTTCAACCATGTTCATAGCAGCTTTATTCGTAATAGCCAGAATCTGGAGACAATCCAGATGTCCCTCAATGGAAGAATGGATACAGAAATTGTGGTACATTTACACAATGGAATACTACTCATCAATTAAAAATGAGGAAATCATAAACTTTGCAGGCAAATAGTGGGAACTAGAAAACATCATCCTGAGTGAGGTATCCCAAAAGCAGAAAGACACACACAGTATATACTCACTTATAAGTGGCTACTAGATATATAATATAGAATAAACCTACAAAAATCTGTACACCTAAAGAAGGTTAGCTAGAAGGAGGACCCTGGGTAAGATGATCAATCCTCACTCAGAAAGGCAAGTGGGATGGACATTGGAAGAAGGAGGAAACAGGACAGGAGCCTACCACGGAGGGCCTCTGAAAGACTCTACCTAGCATTGTATCAAAGCAGATACTGAGACTCATAACCAAACTTTGGGCAGAGTGCAGGGAATCTTATGAAAGAAGGGTGAGATAGAAAGACCTGGATAGGAAAGGAGTTCCACGAAGATAGCAACAGAACCAAAAAATCTGGGCACAGGGGTCTTTTCTGAGACTGATACTCCAACCAAGGACCATTCATGGATATAAGCTAGAACCCCTGCACTGAAGTAGCCCATGGCAGCTCAGTGTCCAAGTGGGTTCCCTAGTAAGGAGAACAGAGGATGTCTCTGACATGAACTCAGTGGCTGGCTCTTTGACCACCTCCCCTGGATGAGGGAGCAGCCTTACCGGGCCACAGAGGAGGACAATGCAGCCAGTTCTGATGAGACCTGGTAGGCTAGGTTCAGATGGCAGGGGAGGAGGATCTCCATTATCTGTGGATTTGGAGAGGGGCATAGGAGGAGATGCAGAAGGAGAGGGTGGAATTGGGAGGGGAGGAAGGAGGGGACTGCAGATGGCATACAAAGTGAATAAACTATAATTAATATAAAAATAAAAATTTAATTTAAAAAAGGGAGTGAAAATGAGAACAGATAAAGAGTGGATCAGATCAGCAAAGACGAAAGTCATGGTTTTTATTTTTTGTTTTTTCCTTCGTGAAATAATTACAACTCTGGGCATGGTGGCACATGTCTGTAATCCCACATTTGGGGGAGGCTAAGGAGTTTGGCCAAGGACTAGGGTTGTAGCTCAGTAGTAGAGCATATGCCTAACACCCATAAGGTCTTTGGTTCCCTTCCCAGCTCTACAAACACACAAGACTAAGTAGTCTAGCCCAGGTTTACTCAAGGAAGAATGGGTAGAGGCGGAATTGAAAAGCCATGTCTGTGCTGTCAGCACTGTAGTAAGATGCTTGAGCCGTGTGTTCAGGGACAACTCGAGGGTTTGAATACAGTCCCCTGCCTCAGCCCATCCTTTGCCCTCAGTCTCTCTAGCCCTGTGAGCTCATCCCAATGGTGGAAACTGTCAGCCACACTCTCCTCCTACTTTTTCTGCTTCCAGCTCCAAAAATGGAGCAGCTCTTATTCATACAAGCCTTCTCTGTTCACTCTGTGCCCGGACGTGACTTCAGGTGAGCCTATTGGTACAATTGTTTTTCACAGAATTGAAGCACACAGTGATAAAGAAGAAGATGACACCACTGAAGAAGATGAGGAAGAAACTGAAGAAACTGGTGGAGAGGAAGAAGAATCAGAAGGGGACGAAGAAGAGAGTAATGAACAAGCCTCCCCCACGCAAGCAGACATTGTCAAGTACATTGCTCTTGGGGATTTCAGTGCTCAGCAGGCCGGGGACCTGACATTTAAGGTAGGTGGGGCAGGTCTGCAGCACAGGCTGGCCGGGTGCCAAGTGAGAAAAGGCTGTCTGTGTGCCTGTGTGACACGGTCCTGAGAGGAAACCTTTCTTTATGATAACTGTAACTTATATGTAGCACTAATAGGAGGGTCTGGCATTAAAATTACCTCTTCTAAAGATTTTTTGAAATCGCTGTGGTTTTGATAACTCCTAAGCAGGGTAAATTCCTTAACTGTGATATGCATGAGATTACTTAGCACGGATAGCTCCTGTAGCATGAGGCAGCAGGCATGCTTCATGCTGTTAGAGGTATTTCCTCAGCTCCCTGGAACTGTGCTCATTCCTTCACTCCCAGCATTTGGGAGGCAGAGACAGTTCACAACCAGCCTACTCTACATAGAGAGTTCCAGGCCAGAAACCCAAACACACCCCAAAGGCATTTCTTCCAGTCAGTCATGCTTGATCTGTGCATCCATGAGTAGCAGGTGGGTGGAAAAAGAAACTCAGGAGATTGCTTCCTCAGTGCTGGAGAGCAAACTATCCTTACCTGATTGCCAGGCAAGCACTTCTCCTAAGTTAGCCTGGCCTTAGGCTCATGGTTCTAAAAGAAGCTTGCGACTTTCTGATATCAACAGGAGTTGGAAATGTTAAAGAATATACTAAGCTTAGTCCTTGTAGCTATCAAATTTCAAAATTAAATAGCAAGTTAATAATACAATATACAAGTTTATTATAAAACTAATACATTTACATTTGAGTTCATAGGATTAATTTTTTAGTCCTAAAGAATTCCATCAATTTTGGACATAATATATACTCTAAGAACTGATTTTCCTCAAGGATTCACATGCTGCCTCTGAAAGGTGTTTTCCAAACAGAGACTCACAAATTCAAAATATAATATATAATAATATAATATAATATAATATAATATAATATAATATAATATAATATAATATAATATAATATAATATAATATAATATAATATAATATAATATAATAATATTATATATAATATAATAATCAAAGTGTTGGCATAAGTACAATGCCTTAAAAATGATAGTGAAGGGGCTGGAGAGATAGCTCAGCAGTTAAGAGTACTTGCTGCTCTTATAGAGGACCTGGCTTTGGTTTCCAGCACCCACATTGTGGCTCACAAATACCTGTAACTCCAGTTCCAGGGAACCCAAAGCTCTTTCTGACTTCCATGGGCACCACACATTCTTATGGTACACAGACATGCATGCAGGCAAAGGATTTAAACACACCAAAAAATATATATAGAGAGAAGAGGTGCTTCTCATTTGAATATAAGCTTCTCGTGAGTGTGTGTGTGTGTGTGAGTGTGTGTGTGTGTATGTGTGTGTGTGTGAGTGTGTGTGTGTGTGTGTGTGTGTGTGTTTGTGTGTGTGCGCGCACGCGCGCGCTAAGTAGCCGAATGAAGTGGTTCATTTGTAGTTGCAGAGAGTCAGCAGTAGAGTGTTAGGAACTGTTTTGTTGTCATTTTTTTATATATCAATCACAAGTTATTAACTCTGTATCCCGGCTGTAGCCCCCTCCCTCATTCCCTCCCAATCCCACCCTCCCTCCCTCATCTCCTCCCTGCCCCTCTCTAAGTCCACTGTCAGGTGAGGTCCTCCTCCCCTTCCCTCTGACCCTAGCTTATCAGGTCTCATCAGGACTGGCTGCCATGTCTTCTTCTGTGGCCTAGCAGGGCTGCTCCTCCCACAGGGGGTAGGGACTTTTTAAAAATAAGCTCATTTTACCATTGTAAAAAGATGTTTTTGAAGCATTTGTAATGAAATATTGTTCATGGTTGCATAGTTTTTGTTCAGTTTCTACTTTGTTTTCATTTAAGAAAGGAGACATTCTCCATATAATTGAAAAAAAGCCTGATGGGTGGTGGCTGGCTAAGGATGCTGAAGGTGCCGAGGGTCTCATCCCCAGGACCTACTTGGAGGTTAGTCCTGATTATTTATGCCTTTCCTGCTCACGTGTTTTTATTTTGACAGCAGTGAGGCCTGGGGCTGTGATTCTGGTTTGCTTTTTGAGATAGAGAGCTGGCTTTAATTGTGTAGAGATGGTGAGTAGGAGAATGTGCACTAACCTTAGCCTGTCTCCCGGGACATGCTTGTGAGCTCTGGGGCATCCCATCAAGGCGATGCTGCGGGTTAGTGCTGTTTTCAGGTACCGTCCACCTTAGTGTTTTAGAGAGGGTCTCTCGTTGGGTTGCTACGCAGGCCACCACGTCCCAGGGATCTGCCTATCTCAGCCTCCCCAGTGCCAGTGATCGTTGCAATCAGAAATTCTTTCAGAAGTGAGACGGAGAGCTGAAGAGCAGGTATCTGCTGCCGCCATCGTCCACACAGCCATCTTTGGATTTGATTCATTTCAACAATTTGCCATCGTCTGAGAGTGTATGTTTGACTGTTAGCTATATTCATCAAAACCAATCTCATTATTGTTTTATTTGCATTTATTATACTCCTCATTTCCTATTTATAGCATCCTTATTGAATGTAACAGCTGTTACATTTGGGATTGATATTTTGTCTTTCTGCTTTGTGTATTTTTGTTAGCTAAATCTATCAGGCTTTTCAATCATGACTTTTGGTCTTATATTTGCTATTACTTCTGAAAAAGGTTTCCTCATTTCAAGATTATTTTCTTACAGTACTTTTACTGATTCTTTCCTTAATTTTTAATTCTTCTTCCTCCTCTTCCTCCTCTTCCTTCTTCGTTCTTCTTCCTCCTTCTTCTTTCTCCTTTTTCTTCCTTCTTCTTCCTTCTTCTTTTCTTGCATAGGATCTTGCCGTGGAGCAAAGACTAGTCTAGAACTCATGATCCTCCTGACTCAGGTTTTCAAGTTCTGGAATTAGCATGCCCATCTGTCATTGTTTTCAATAGTGACATTACCAAACATATATTGCAAGATTTACATACAAATCTCCTCATCCATGCTGAATCTTCCTTAAAGATATACGTATTTTATTGGTTGATTTTGTATTGACTGAAAATCACTTTGTATGTCTACAATCTTCAGCCCTATAATAAGGAAGACACTCGAGAATCAAGTGAAGGCCTCAAGGAGGGCAGTGAAGAGGACGTGGAGGTGGAGGATGAAACTGCAGATGGAGCCGAAGTGAAGCAGAGGTATGAGGTGTGAGGGGCATCTGGACAATTTAAAGAAGATGTGTACATATTTGAGTGTGCGTGCATGCGTGAGTGCGTGAGTGTGTGAGTGTGTATGTGTGTGTGTGTGTGTGTGTGTATGTGTGTGTGTGTGTGTGTGTGTGTTGGATTATGGTATTAGTAGGACCTTTTCTAATACCCGCCATAGTTCCCAAATAATTAACACAGAGACCTATTAGATTTATTCAACAAACTTTATGAACTATGACTGATATTCACCTATTCTTACCCAGTTGTGCTAGTCTGGCTACTTCCCAGCCACGTGCCCATTTACCTGCCATTTAGACTCACCTTGGCCTTCTGCTGTAACTCCGCCCTCACGTAGAACTACCCATGGTGACCTCCTGGTACCCTCTCTCCTTCCCTACTTGAGGGTCCCTGACTGGGAACAGAAGTCCCGCCTCCTGTCCTCTCTGCCTAGCTATTGGTTAATCAGCTTCTGTATTAACCAATCAGAGATAATTGGGGAGCATCCTTTACACAACATTGACACAGGAGATTCTTCATAGAAATGACAATGGCCATGTCAAGACTGCAACCAGATCTTAGAGTACAAAAATCAGGTTCTGAATACAAAGTGCACAAGACTATCCCACAACGCGCACTTGTGTGTGTGTGTGTGTGTGTGTGTGTGTGTGTGTGTGTGTGTGTGT